TTCAGGACTAATCTTTAGGTCTTTGATCCATTTTGAGTTTATTTTTGTGAATGGTGAAAAAGAATGGTCAATTTTCATTCTTTTACATGTGGCTGTCCAGTTTTCCCAGCACCATTTGTTGAAAAGACTTTCTTTTCTCCATTGTAGGCCCACAGCTCCTTTGTCGAAGATTAGCTGTCCACAGATGTGTGGTTTTATTTCTGGGCTTTCAATTCCATTCCATTGATCTGTGCACCTGTTTTTGTATCAGTACCATGCTGTTTTGATTACTGTAGCTTTGTAGTATGTTTTGAAATCAGGGATTGTGATGCCTCCAGCTTTGTTCTTCTTACTCAGGATTGCTTTAGCAATTTGGGGTCTTTTGTTGCCCCATATGAATTTTAGGATTCTTTGTTCAATTTCTGTAAAGAACGTCATTGGGATTCTGATTGGGATAGCGTTGAATCTGTAGATTGCTTTAGGTAGTATGGACATTTTAACTATGTTTATTCTTCCAATCCATGTGCATGGAATGTCTTTCCATCTCTTTATGTTGTCATCAATTTCTTTCAAGAAAGTCTTGTAGTTTTAATTGTATAAATCTTTCACTTTCTTGGTTAAATTTATCCCAAGGTATTTTATTCTTTTCGTTGCGATTGTGAATGGGCTTGAGTTCTTGAGTTCTTTTTCTGTTAGATCATTGTTAGTGTATAGAAATGCTACTGATTTGTGTATGTTGATTTTATACCCTGCAACTTTGCCCAGCAACTGATGATTGGATAAAGAAAATATGGTATATATACACAATGGAATACTACTCAGCCATAAAAAAGGACAAAATCGTCCCATTCGCAACAACATGGATGGACCTTGAGGGTATTTTGTTAAGCGAAATAAGCCAGACAGAGAAAGACGAGCTCTGTATGACTCCACTCATAGGTGGAAGTTAACATATAGACAAGGAGAGCTGATCGGTGGTTACCAGGGGAAAGGGGGGGTGGGGGGAGGGCACAAAGGGTGAAGTGGTGTACCCACAACATGACTAACAATAAAGTACAACTGAAATTTCACAAGGTTGTAAACTGTCATAATCTTAATTTAAAAAGATCAATGGAACTAAGAGCTGGTTTTTGAAAAGATTAACAAAACTTTAGCTACAAGAAAAAAGAAGACTCAAAATCAGAAATGAAAGAGGGGGCATTATAACTGACACCACAGAAATATAGAGTCATAAGGGACTATTATGAACAATTATACACCAAGAAATTGGATAACCTAGAAGAAAAAGATAAATTTCTAGAAACTTACAACCTACCAAGACTGAATCATGAAGAAATAGAAAATTTGAGCTGACCCATTGGTAAAATGATTGAATCAGTAATTTAAAATATGCCATCAAAAATTTCCCAGGATCAGATGGTTTCACTGGTGAATTCTATGAAACAATTAAAGACAAATTAACACGATTTCTCAAACTATTCCAAAAGACTGAAAGGTAGCGAACACTTCCAAACTAGTTTCATTATACCAGAATTACCCTAGTTCCAAAGCCAGACAAAGACACTACAAGAAAAGAAAACTACAAGTCAATATCCCTGATGAACATATGCAAAAATTCTCAATAAAATATGACCATACCAGATTCAACATCACATTAAAAGAATCATATATTACAATCAAATGGGATTTAAACTTAGAGTTCAAGGATGGTACAACATACGTAAATCACATAATGTGAAACACCACATTAACAGAATTAATAATTAAAATCATATGACCACCTCAGTAGATGCAGGAAATGCATTTGACAAAACTCAGTACCCTTTGTGATGAGAACTCGCAACAAATTAGGTATAGAGGTAACTTACCTCAACACAATAAAGGCCATATACGATAAGCCCACAGCTGACATCATACTCAGTGGTGAAAGCTGCAAGATTTTCTCTAAAGATCAGGAGCAAGGTAAAGATGTCCACTCTCGCCACTTCTATTCCACACAATACTGGAAATCCTAGCCAGAGCTAGGTGCTCAACATCACTAATCATCAGGGAAATGCAAATCAAAACCACAATGAGATATCACTTCACACCTGTTTGAATGGGTATGATCAAAGAGACAAAAAAACAATAAGTGTTGGAGAGGATTTGTACACTGTTGGTAGAAATGTAAATTGGTACAGCCATCCTGGAAAACAGTATGGAGTTTCATCAAAAAATGAAACTACTTGGGGCCGGCCCTGAGGCGAAGTAGTTAAGTTCACACACACAGCTTCAGCAACCCAGGGTTTCGCTGGTGCAGATCCTGGGTGTGGACATGGCACTGGTCATCAGGCCAGCTGAGGCAGTGTCCCACATAGCACAACCAGAAGCACTCACAACTAGAATATACAACTATGTACTGGGGGGCTTTGGGGAGAAGAAGAAGAAAAATAAAAAGATTGGCAGCAGATGTTATCTCAGGTGCCAATCTTTAAAAAAATGCAACTACCTTATGATCCAGCAATCCCATTTCTGGTTACATATCCAAAGGAATTGAAACTAGTATCTTGAAGAGATAGCTGCACTCCCCTGTTGATTGCAGCATTATTCAAAATAGCGAAGACATGGAAACAATCTAAGTGTCCACTGACAGATGAATGGATAAAGAAAATTGATATATATACACAATGAGATATTATTCAACCTTTAGAAGGAAAGAAATCCTGCCATTTGCAACAACATGGGGGAACCTAAAGGATATTATGCTAAGTGTAATATGCCAGACACAGAAAGACAAATACTACTTGATCTCACTTATATGTGGAATCTAAAAGAGTAGAACTCATAAAAGCAGAGAGTAGAATGGTGGTTGCCAGGAGCTGCAGGAAGTGGGAAATGGGGAAATGTAGGTCAAATGTTAAAAGTTTCAGTTTGCAAGATGAATTAAGTTGTAGAGATCTAATGTACAGCATGGCAACTGTAGTTAATAATACTATATTGTATACTTGTAATTTGTGAAGGATACAGATCTTAAGTGTCCTTACCACATACAAAAATATGATAACTATGTGGAGTGATGGATATGTTAATTAGCTTGATTGTGATCATCATTTCACAATGTATATGTTTTTCAAAACATCTTACATATATACAATTTTTGTCGGTTATACCTCAATAAAGCTGGGGGAAACAAATACCCATTATTTAGCCTACTTAAATTTAAAAATTTTGAAATATAATATGGATTATTTAATGTTACAAAAATAATAAAGTTATAACTAATAATAATAGTAATAAAAACAATAAACATATCTATATCCACTTCCAAGATTAAGAAATCCAATCTAAGACAATTGAGGTCTGTAATCTTCCTTAGGCACATATCCATCACTTTTTTCAAATGGTACTGGCATACCATTTTTTATCACTACCAAGCCTTTCATTATACCTTTCTACATTGGTATTTATCCCTAAGTAATACATAGTATCCTTTCATATTTATAAAATGTATACATAAATTGTATCATAGTCTATGTATTTTTCTAAAACATGCTTTTAAAAAAATTTTGTCTATGATTCTTATCACAATAATTCTTGTTGAATAATCAGAATGCAGAGGGCCATACAAAAAATCGTAATCTTCGCCTCATACCTCCTCACCTTTCTTTTTAAACCTGCTCTGAGGCTCTTTCCCCATCCCTAGATGAAACCTCCGACAGGCCACATAATGTATACTCTTCTCATTAAAGAAAAACCTCCCATCCTTTCACTCACAAGAATAGCCTCATTTTAGTAATTAGTGTATTTCAGCCAAGTACAGGAATTAGACCTCAGATCTTCATTCAGAGTTATACCTTCTCTATCTGCCTAGTTCAGACCTGCCTCAGAAGGCTTAGGGGTTGAGATGGCAACAGGCAAAGCTATTGTTGACTCTTTCTCCATTTAGTCATGTTGTGCTTCCTCTTCAATGCTCTAATTTACGGGCCACTTTTCTGAATTCCACATACTCAGAGTTGGGGAAGGAGCTGAGTTAATGGGAAGGAAAAGTCTGAGCATTGGTAAATGTTGGAAGCTGGACACAGTAGACGATCAAAGCAGACTCCTTTCCTTGGAGCACTTGTATGTAGGTTCCCTAGAGGCTGCCACTGGAACCATTTGTCATGGCACTCCATTTCCTGTGATGTAAGAAATGCATTTTTCCCTGGCTCCTGGGTACATTTTCTCTCCAGGCCCTGCAAATTTGGTCATGTATTGCTCTATTCTTGGTAACTTTGCCCATCCCAAACCCTTTTCCCTTCCCTCTTCTCACACAGAAATTAAAATGACCCAGACTCACTCTCTCTTCCAGAGCCTAACTAATCTATGAGCAAATGCATCCTTGCCTATGTTACTGGAGGTATTCTTAGATGCCGGTCTCTTTATCTCTCTTCTGATGCTTCAGGCTAATAGTCAGTTGCTTCTAGATCTTCGATTACTCAGAAAAGTCAGGCCACTCTACTCTTGAATTCAGGAAGCACATGTCAAGCTCTTCCCTATAGTATCCTTGAAGTCTCACTCAGATGAAGTCAAGAAGAAGGTGTCCACACTGGGGAGCAAAGAAGAGAAACTGGCACAATGCTGAACCTCTGCACAGAAACTATTCCCTGATTTCCAACATCTACCCTATCTATGTTCAACCCTTCATACCCTCCAGTTGAGTGATGAGGTCAAATTTAATATTTCTTCCTTGCATGGAGGGTTTTATAACATTCACTAGAATATGCGTGTATTTGCTATCTCTTTTCTTGAGATCCCAGTAAAAACTATAACAATAAAGAGCCCATTTTAACATCATGTTCCACAATAATTTTATGTTAATTTAAGATCATTGCCTTAAAAATAAATGTTCTATGAACAAGATGGACCTTTTTCTGTAACACTGACCACAGGCCACCTGGGCCAATATTGTCATCAATTGTAGGACTTTTCTTAGAAATCTGAAGGAGCGTGTCTTAAGTTCTATATCTTATGAAATATGTTTTTACTCCATTTATTCACTGCAGATTTGCAGCCACTATACCCTTTCTCGGCCTGATGCTCAATCTGCAGCACTTTGGGAGCAACATTTTCCTGTTCCAGATTATCTTTGGAGCTGTCACCTTCATAGTCAGATGTGCTGTTCTTTTGACAATGAATCATGTGGGTCGTCGAATAAGCCAGATGGTGTCCTCCTTCCTGGTAGGAATTCCCATTCTGGTCAACATCTTTTTGTCCCAAGGTGAGAGAGACAGGAGTTTGGAGAAAGTAAGTGGTTGCCCCCCATTCCTCAGGGATTACATTTGTCTTACCTGCCTAATGCCAAAATAATGGCATTTTCCACTGAAAATCAAAGGATTTCTTGAAGTCTGTGTGAGGGTTCAGAACTGAGTCTGACAAAAAGTTGTTAGCAAGACTTAGGCTCTTACAGAACAAATGTCAGCAGGGAGTAGTTCAGACCCATGTTTGTCTTCATCACATCTAGGATGAATCTGGACATCAGTTCCAATTATTCCTCAGGTTTCCTTAGAAAAACAACTAACCACTTGCCCTTTGGCCAATCACACTTTTAATAACAACCATGGAAGGGCTGGGCCTTGCAATTATATCCCACAGTGGGGGCTTTACTTCCTCTGTCTAGGGCTCTTACTGATTTTTAAGGCCTCTGTGATATGCCTACTTCCTCATCCCCATGTATTGACTTTTGAGGCTGGTATTAATTCACCATAAATGCGACACTTTATTATGAGAGACTTCTTGACTTCAGTGAATAAAAAACACTTGTCTTCAGGCAGAGAAGCATACAGTAGAAACAAGGGAAGAGGCTAATCTTAATATATCTCTTAGCCTACCCCTAAACAAGTAATAGATTAAGAAGCTAATCCAGCCTCTCTTAAAATCTATTTAGTAAATTAACAGAATGACCATAGGCAATGATTATGAGAACTTGAGTAGTCACCATGCTTCACCTACCTCCCAGAGCAAGAAGGTAATTTTCAGGGTCCCAGTCGTCCTCCTGATGACAGCCTGCTGCCTTATAGGCAGCCCTCTCCATTGTTATAAAGTCCTATTTATGATGTTTTATTGAATAAAAAGCACCTTTTTGAATTTTCAGTATCAGTGGTTCCCACTATTACATGATTTACTTCCAAATAGAAGTTTTAATACTGTTTTTTTAATCCTGAATTGTTCTAGAGCTTGTTTCTCTTCCCACTGTCTGCTACCAAATAAGTCCAGTCCTTTTATTACTGTATGGTGGAACACCTGTCCCTGGTCAAAAATTGTTCCTACCCCTTTAATTCTAAACTACTCAAGGCATAGGTCATAAACTCCTAGTTATTATCCACATCTAGTCCTATGTCCTGCAGAAAGTGCACACAAAACATTAGACAGAATTGAGGCTGGCCCCATGGCCAAGCGGTTAAATTTGCACACTCCACTTCAGCGGCCCAAGGTTTCACTGGTTCGGATCCTGGGCGCAGACATGGCACCACTCATCAGGCCATGCTGAGGTGGCATGCCACATAACACAACCTGAGGCACTCCCAACTAGAATATGTATGTAAAACCTTCCAGTAGGATCTTTTTATGGTTATTTGGGGGTTGACAGATTCTTCAGCCAAGATTTCCTGACTCTCCCTCGTCTTCCTCTCCAGAAATGCAGACCCTGCGTGTGGCTCTAGCAACTTTGGGAATTGGTGCTACTACTGCCATTTTTACAACTCATACCGTCCACCACAATGAACTTGTTCCCACCGTGCTCAGGTACATGGGCTAACAGATCGTCCATCTGATTTCAAAACAGGACTTTCTGAAATAATTGACATGTATTGGGGGGGGTAAAACTGAGACTTCTTAGGTGTCAGAAGAGTGAATGGTGACAGGAATCAAGGCAGCAACTGAGAGCCAACGATTATGAAAGATGACTTTATGTCCGGTATTGTGCCGAGTCCTTTAATGCATCGCTTCATTTAATCTTAAGAACCACTCCACAGGATTGGTACTACGGGTACCCATATTTTAGTAACAATGAAACTGAGGTTTAAAGCAGTTACCAACGTGATACTGTCAATCAGAAAACAACAGAGGTAGAACTTGGGGCTTGCCATCAAAGCCCACGTGTTTAACAACTCTGCTGGACTGTCCCCCAGAATGAAGTGAAAATGATAAATACGAACTTACATGTATAGATTTTTTCAAACTCTTCTTCCTGTTGTTATTTGCACCCTAGGTCAATAGCTATAGGACTTAATGCAATGTTCAGTAGGCTTGGGGCAACTCTGGCTCCTCTCCTGATGATCCTGACAGTGTATTCCCCCGACCTGCCCTGGATCATCTATGGAGTCTCCTCCATCCTTGCTGGTCTTGTTGTCCTCCTCCTTCCTGAAACCAGGAATCAGCCTCTTCCTAACACCATCCAGGATGTGGAAAATAAGTGAGTAAACCCTCTAGTTGTCACCAGATGGGGAAGGGGTTGTGTGCTATAGCTCCGTGATAAAGAAGGCAAAGGACCATTTGGAGCCCTCTGTCCTTCATGCAGGCTCAGATCTGGGCTATTTCCACTTGTGTCCATGTCCTTTGGTTCTGTAGCAGCTTCACCCCTACTCACAATGGTGTCAGACTCTTCTTGAGGCTCCCTAGGTCCCACAGACCACCTAGCACCAGTAGGTTTAGTGGTGAAAACATCAAAATTAGTTCTATTGTGAATGGTACATACTCTCTGCCTCTCATGGGAGACAGGCACCTGATGTTTTTTCATAAATCTGCTAAGACTCAAATGTCTCATTCTCATGAGCCTGGTTTCATCACCCATCAGCCCACTGAGTGCCTGATAAATTTTGGGGAAGGGAATAGGATTGCCTCACAGATACAACCTGATTATTGCTTGGGTCAAGGAAGAATTTAGGGACTGGAGCATAGAACAAGATCCTTCTTGCAAAGAAGACAGTGTATCTAAAGGAAGTGGATCTTCCTGTGATACCTGTGAGATTAAGTTAAATTTTCTGTCACAGGTAATGGAAGTTTTGAGGAGAGAGAAAAACAAAGCAAATAGGAAAACAGAGTTTGAAATGAGGAAAAATAAGAAAGTACCTTTAAAAATTTCAGTTCTCCCTTTGATTTTCCTAAGATGTCATCGGTCAAAGGTGTAAAGGGACAATGTTGAGAGTAACAGGATCCAAAATGCCTTCCCAGGGTGCCCAGGTCTCAGGGCCTTTTCCAGCGTAATGGCGTCAATATCTTGGGGGTTTGGGGTAACAAAGCTGGTGGGGAGAGGATCAGCTTGTCCTCAGACATGCAGTCTATACTCACTTATTCTATACCTTCTTTGTTTGTTTCTGATTTTCTTATTTTTTTGTATTTCTTTTTCACAGCAGAAGAGATTCAAGAAAAACAAAGCAGGAAGATATTTCCATGAAAGTAACCCAATTTTAAGGAGTTTCCAAGAGCTAAGCAAAATAAGGGGGAAAAAAATCAAGATTGCTCCTTTATGCTTGAAAAACTAGCCAAAAATATAATAGACTATTAGAATTAACAGCACTAAATAACAATTTCCTAAAATAATTTATGAGTTCAAGTAATTCTGTGAACAATCGCTTGGTTTTGGGAATAAGCTGCAAAATTAGTTTGAGATTCATCTAGAAATTAATAATAGCATCATGGAGTGACAGTGGAACTGGCTGGTATGTAAAGAAGCATATGGAGGAGTTTATGCAAAACCACAACCATCAAACAGTAACAGCAGATGCCACCACAAATCAGAATAATTCCATAGACACATCCAAGTATGAATAAATACTTGCTATATGACATTCTGGTAACCAAATCACTTATGAATTGAAAACTTATGTAATAAATAGCATTACTTAGCTTTTTAGAAATAAATTCACAAAATTTTATTGCTTTTCCTTTGCATTTTTTCTAGCTTCATATTTTAAACAATTAACATGAATCATTTAAAAATATTTTAAATACTCAAGTATTAAAGGTCAATTGACATGGTAAATGATTTCAAAATGTATATGTATAGTATACACGTGGACATTATTTAATAAATATCATTATAAATAAGACTATACTTCAATGCAAAAATGAGCAAAGAGCAAGAACACATAATTTTCGAAAGGAAAAGCCACATGAATAGTAATTATATGAAAAGATGCTCAAATTTAATAGTGATCAAAGAAAAACACACTAAAATGAAATTCCAACTTTCATTTGCCAAAGCTGTGAAGACTTTTCAATGTGCTATTCATTCTCGCAGTGGGTGAAGTGCAGTGAAATGGACACTCATTCAGAGCTCGAGGAAGTATAAAGGAAAGCACGCTATAAAGCTAAAGAAGTGTGGCTTTCTTATCACAAGCTTCAATACAATCTTTATTCATTCAGCAAACGCTTGTTGAGCTAGTACAACCTACTATGCTAGAGCCTGTCTTCTGCCAATAAAGAAAGGTTTCTTTTCATTCTGGATTCCCTTTTATTTCTTTGTTTTATTGCCCTGGTGAGAAACGCCAGCACAATATAGAACAGAAGTCATGAGAGTAGAAATCCTTGCCTTTTTCCTGATGTTTCCAGGAAAACTTTCAATATTTCAGTATTAACTATGATATTTGTAAATTTTCTATAGATTACCTTTAACAGTTTGAAGAATTCCCTTTTATTCCTCCAATACTGCAAATTTCTTATCAAGAACAGATGCTATAATTTGCCAGATATATGGAGATAATCTTTTTTTTTCCTTTTTAGCTTCCTAATATGGAAAATTATAGGAATTCATTTTCAAATGTTAAAGCATCTTTGTGATTCTGGGATAACCTCTGCTTGGTCGTGATGTATTATTCTTATATAATGTTAGATATGGTTTTCTAAAATTATGTTGAGATATTTTGCACCTATATTCATGAGGGTTATTGGTCTCCAGTTATTTTTCTTGCAATAGTTTCATCTCATTTTTGTATTGGAATAATTCTGGCCTCACAGAATAATTCTGGCTTTTTCCTCTGAAAGAGTTTGTATAGAATTGAAGTTATTTCTCTTTTAAATTTTTTTGTAGAATTCACCCGTGAATCTATCTGGCCCCATAGGGTTTGTTTGTTCGTTGTTTTGTTTGGTCTTGGTTTTTTAAAGGGTAGAGGAAGTTTTTTAACTGCAAATTTCATTTTTTTGATGTACAAGGCTCTTCAAGTTATCTATTTCTTCCTCCGTAATTTTTCTCCTCATTAAGGGTCATATGTTCTTGCTTATTTGCTTGCCTGGTAATTTTTTATTTCATGCCTGATATTATGATTTTACTCACTTAGAGGCTTGATTTTTTTTTTATTCCTACAGATATTCTTGAACAATTCTGGGATATGCCTCAGTCACTAGGAAATAGTTTGATTCTCCTGGGTCTTGTTTTTAGCACTGCTAAGCAAAGCATAAAAGCATTTAGCCTATAGTTAAACACCCCTCACCATCACTGAGCCAAAATTCTTGTGGATACTCTATTCAGGGATCCCTGAATGATAAAGTTTTCTGTCCTACCTAGAAGGAATAGGCACTATTCCTATCCTGATGTGAAATCCAGGGACTTTTAGCTCTGACCATTTGGGTGGGTCTTTCCCCAGCCATGAGTATTTTTCTCACATGCATGTGCCAATCACTATTCAGCTGAATACTCGAGGTGGTCCCTCTGATGAATCCTTGTGGTGGACCCTGTGCAGGTCTCTGGAGCTGTCTCTTTGTTAGGTCTCTCCTTTCTGTAGCTGGATGCTCAAACTCCAGCTTTGTAAATCTCCGAAAGCATGAGCAAAAGTTTTCCTGACAGTGAATTTCCTAACTTTAGCATCTTTTTTGATCTGGATAGGCTGAGAATTCCCACAGTTTTCAAGACCTGACTCCTTTGTGTTTAATAATTCTTCCATCTATTTATCTCTCTCCTCTCACACTTAATCATGAGCAGCAAAAAGAAACCAGCAAGTACCTTAAACACTCTGCTTGTAAATCTCTCGGTCTGTATATCCAAGTTTGTCACTTAGAAATACTGCTTTCTACATACTGTGGGACACAATTCCACTAAGCTTTCTTGACACTGTGCTTGAAGGATCTTCTTTCCTTCAGTTTCCAATGATACGTTCCTCATTGCCTTGTGAGTCCTCAGCAGTAGCAACTTTAATGTCTGTATTTCTACCAACAGTTGGTTTATGACAATTTAGATGTTCTCTAGGATTAAATAGGTTTTTCCTACCATGCTCTTTACTTCCTTATGAGTCCTACCAGAAGTATCATTAACATTCTTATTTCAACTAACACTCTTTCAAGGCAATCTAGACTTTTTCTATCATGCTCCTCAAAATTCTTCCAGCCTCTGCCCACTCCACAACCAAGACAAGAATTTTTTTTTCTTTCTTTTTTTGGTGAAGAAGATTGACCCTGAGCTAACATCTGTTGCCAATCTTCCTCTTTTCACTTGATGAAGATTGTCGCTGAGCTAACATCTGTGCCAATCTTCCTCTATTTTGTATGTGGGATGCCACCATGGCATAGGTTAATGAGCAGTGTGTAGGTCCACACCCATGATCCGAACCTGCAAACCCCAAGCCACCAAAGCAGAGTGCATGAACTTAACCACTACACCACTGGCCGGCCCCAAGAATATTTTTAAACAAGTTAATAAAACACTAATTCAACACAATATGAAGTGCAATATGCTGAGATGTCTTACACTGATTGTTGGTAAAAGTATGTGTGGAGCACAAAAAGGATTAACTGGATAAATTTAGAAAGGTGGTGAAAATGTAAGATGTTTAAAGCTTATGACTGGTGATTTTATTGTTCATCAGCATGAACTTTGCAGAAAATACTTGATTCTATTGCATACTGTTGAATTAGACTTTCTCTACCATGTGCTAATTTTACAGAGGCTGATCTATGGATTAGTATGGTACAATTTTATTATAATTTTGTGTATGTATGAAGAAGATTGGCCCTGAGCTAACATCTCTTGCCAATCTTCTTCTTTTCACTTGAGGAAAGTTGTCACTGAGCCAACATCTGTGCCAGCCCTCCTGTATTTTATGTGGAATGCCACCAAAACATGACTTGACGACAGGTGCTAGGTCTACGCCCGGGATCTGAACCCATGAACCCCAGGCATTCAAAGCGGAGCACATGAACTTAACCACTGGACCACTGGGCTGGCCCTATTACAATGTTTTGAGCTCAGGGCCAACAATGAAATTTTTCTGAATAAAGAGAAAAACATCCTCTATTATTAAACACCACACGGTTTTGGAAATTAGACTGTGCTGCAGACTTGATAATGCTTCTTAATTAGTTCAACCTGAAATTACAAGGTGAAACATCATTTAGAGGTAACTTTTACACTGTAATAAAAGTAAAGTCACTCTAATGACAACTAATATTGATAAAATCACAAGTAATGTCACTACTTTAGATGCTCCCTGTGCTGTCAAACGTAAAAGCAAGAAGCAAGAACCATATTTCCCCACAAATTTGCAGCAGATGTATTTTCCAAACTCAAATTATAACTCAGCAGCATTTGTCACACCTTATTGCAAGTGCTAAGGAAATTTCTGTATTTAAATATCCATGTAACTGTGCAATTGAGGAGCTTACACCTAATCTAATACCAAGAGAACACTTGAATAGAATTCTATAAATGCCTTCCAAGAAATACATATGCTCAATTAAAATCATATGCTCATGGATTAGCATCAGTATTTGGCAGTACCTGCCTGTGTGAAAGGACAGTTTCAAGATGAAATACACAAAAATCTCATTACAGATTATCGTTAGTAAATAACATTTGCAATTGATTTTGATGATAGGTAAGACTAACTTTGAACCCTAATTAAGTGAAATGTTATGTCAAAAAAAAGAAGAATTCCATTCTTCTCATTGGTAGACCTATATTACAAACACTTGTACTCAATTACTATTATTATATTTTGAACTTTGTCCATCTAAAAATTTAGAAATTTGTTTTATCTTTTGTTATACAAGCACCTATATAATATCTTTACTTTTGCCTCTTGGCCTGTAAATCCTAAGCTCTTTACTATGTAAAAGTCCAGTGCTACACCTTACAGGAAACGTTTGCCAATCCGTGGTCTACAGCACTGACTCCTCAAGTCTGAGCCTTGAACCTCCTTCCTCAGAATAACTTACTGAACAGAATCATTATAACTTGTTCCACAAGTGATTATTATGAAGCTAAAAACATGAACCTCTGATTTGCAGGAGAAAGTCCAAATTCCTTTATTTATTTATTTATTTATTTATTTATTGAAAATCCTCTCTTCTCCAGTTATGCACGCCTTTAGGTTCTAGCTATGTTAAATATGTGGTAATTCCACAATCACTCCATGTTCTTCTATTCCTGCAGCCATAATTGTGTACTTGTTATTCACTCTACCTGAAATTATCTTCTTCCCCTTCTTACTCCCACCATCTCTTCTTAATGAATGAGGATCTACTCGTTCCCCATATCTGACTGAAACCTCACCCCTCAATTAAGACTTCCCTGCCTTATGCCATTTACTCAGTAGCATTAAACACTCATTAATTCTTCCACAGCACATTGGGCATCCTCCATATGTGACACTTATGATATTAACTCTTTTCTTTGAATGGACTAGGAGACATTAAGGACACTCAACATGTTCTGTATATCACTGGGTTCCTAGCACTAGCACAGATGAGGTCTCAAAAATGTTAAATAAGTGAAAAATATAACAGAAGATATACATTGTTTTATCAGAAGAAGCATTTATTCTCCAATGCCTTCTCTCTTTTCCCCAAATCCATTCCCCAGTTTCCAGAAACTTAAAATCCTTCTGAACCCCTGATTAGATCTCCATTGCAATAGATCTTCAGCTACTAAAATTGTTTTACATTG